GGGGCGCGATTAGGACTGCTGACCGAGCGTGCGCGCCCCATGGTTGACAATTGCCCGCGCGCAGGTGCGCTTCGCCTTGCATGCTTTCAACCTATTTGGGCAAGTGCCTTCGTCATGAAGCAGATATTACTACTCTGTATATCCCACGCAGATCGCACAACAAAATTCAAGATATGGAAATGCTTCTGAGCCATATTACCGTCTGAGCAAATCAAAACTTTTTAATGATCAACTCGGACGGCTTTCAGAGACCTCTGTAGCTTTTTTGATTTGTATGCTTTTGACCAGGTTGGAGACGACCTCTTTGGAGAGAACTACTTAAAAAGCTTTCAACAAGATGGTGTCGACACCACACATATAGAAATTTCAAAGGAAAGTCCGACTGGTACCGCCACCATAATTGTTAATGGACGTGGTCAGTTCAGCCTAATATTTAACTATTCAGCAGGCATTGATTATTGAATTCATCCAGGTGAAAACATCATTGTCATAACCATGAGTGCCAATGCAGAAGTGAATGAAGAAGTTGCGGAAAAACATGAGGATGCACTTGAAGATGCGGCGATTGTGATGATACAGGCGGAAGTTTCTCCAAAAGGAAATAAAAGAATTTTTGAACTCGCTAAGGATCACGATGGTATGAATCTTGCATCGCGATTAGATATCTTGGGCAGGAAAACTTTGTTCTAGTGCAAACATTCTTCAATCCTGCTCCTGGAGATCCAAACTTGGACAAGTCCATTCTATCACTAACCGACATCATTTGTACAAATGAGAGTGAGGTGATAAAACCTAGCAGTTTGATTGTTTCTAGCTTGTAACAAAAGTATTGTTTTAGACAGAATTCATAACGGGTATAAAACCAGAGACAGTGCATGACGCTAAGAAAGCAGCTGCCGAAATGATTACTATGGGACCAGAACATGCGATTATCACCTTGGGAGCACAAGGTAGCTCTTGCTTTTCTTTACAAATAACCTTAAATGCCAGACAAGGCTTTGAAATTTGCGGTTCTCCTTCCCTTATTGGCACCTGAAGGCATAGCAATCAAAAACCTTTCTTTTAGTCAGCAGCGGGAAACTG